TGGGTGAAAAGAAATACTCCCTCCGTCCCAAAAAGATCGTTACGTTTCATTTCTTTGCGCATCACAAAAAGCAATGCTACTCACATTTAAAATTTCTAAAATTTACCATATTTACTCTTTATTTAAGATGAAATTGTTTTGAAAGTTTTTTTGGCATTTGAGACGATATAAAAATATTTTAAGGGATGCGCAAAGAAATGAAACGTAATCATCTTTTTGGGACGGAGGGAGTAAAAGTTAAGAACAAGGGAGAAGAATGATATGTCTTTTGGCCAAAATTTATTTACCAAAAAAAGGGAATGAGAAGAATTAAGTGGAACGATCCGAAAAGGAAAGCGTGAAGAAAGATATGGGACAGAGGGAGTATAAAGTAATAAGGACAATGTTCTCTTGACACTAATATTCAGTGACAATAGATGACACTCGTCTAGTTTGAACACTTCCAATGCTCACTTCCCTAAATCGATAGTTCTTACCCTCTAATCCACCCCTAAACCCCACCCTAGTCACACCCCCGCACCCCCATCCTAGACCCCCTTTTATTCCCTCCAAATGTGGTGGATATTATGCATTGCATAATAGTCACACATTTGGAGGGGTAAAAGATGGGTCTAGGGTGGGGTACATCGGTGGGGCTGTAGTGGAGGTGTGGTGGGCCGTTTAGGGGGTGAGTTATATCATAATTTTAGTTTTTATTTGGATGAAATAAAATAAGATCTGTTCGAATTAGATCAGATAAGACACTCAAATTAGATCAAATTTAATCAAATCAAGTCTAATTAGATCAAATGTTATATAATCTTACTAGATCAAATTAGATTCAATCGGACCAGATTTTTTTTAAAATGTATTAGATCTAATGCTTGTATGGTTTTAATGTCCACATTTAAAATGTGGACTTTCTAACAATTTTCATGGACTTGCATAAAGATATTTTATGTTTTACAAAAGGTTCAATTCTTTTCTGCTACAGGTACACTTAAGGTCCATAACATAAGCATAAATTTTTGGAAAAATTATAATCGAAACGAGAAAAGTGCACTGTTTACTCCTTCATTCTTTGAAAATTACATGGTTTACCCCCGAATATTAAAAGATGCACCAAATACCACTGGATTCTTAAAAAATTACACAATTTATCCTTTCATATTAAAAAGTGCACCAAATACCCTGAACTTTTCGAAAATTGCACAGTTTACCTCTGAACATTTAAATAAAGACGATAATTTTGGGAAATGGTGATTTGGAGAATTCACAAGGGCCAGATGAATCATACTCGTAATTCCCATGCATGGGAGCAACACACCCCCTATCTAGCATTTTAGGACCAACGATACAGTATTTTAAATTATTCAAGATTATTTGATGTACTTTTTATTGTTCAGAGATAAATCGTCCAATTATCGAAGAGTTTGAGAGTAAACAATGAACTTTTTATTGTTCAAAAATAAAAGCACTCAGTTTCCACCAGAAAATTACTCGCGGGTGACGCGAGTTTTGTCGAAATAACTTTCAGGTTCTTCTATTTTCAAAAAGACAACCGAGGTCCTTATATTTTGATGTAATGATTGGGAGAGGACATTTCATCCAATACATCATCCGTAAGTGTTAATAAATGTATTTTTTCCTATTTTTTCAATACCATTTTTCCTATTTTGCCATTACCTTGTTTTTTCTTTTTTTAATTTTTTTTATTTCATTTGTTTTAATATAATACAAACAATTTTGAATTTTTATACGATTTTATAGAAAAAAATCTAAAATAACACTTTAAAAAATAGTAACAAAATGAAAGAAAAACAAAGAAATAAAAAAGGAGCGACCTAAGATTTATTACCTTAAAACATTTAGAAAAAAATAGGAAAAAATACATTTATTAGCGTTTATAGATGAAATATTAGATGAAATGTCTCCTTCCAGTCATTACAGCAAAATGTAAGGACCTCTGCTGTTTAAGGGAGAAAAACTAAAGTAGGACTAAAACATTGAAGATATATCAAAATAAGACTTCCATATTTTTATTCTCGAAATAAGACTTACATTACCAAACATGGTCATATACATTAGCAAGAAAGTATAGTAATTTGCACATGTACACTGCCACATTACCACAATACAAAGTACTATTCCGGGAAAAAAACATGAAAGTCCTATTTTGATACTTTTCTCTATGCTTTAGTCCTATTTAAGATGATTTCTATTCTTGAAAATAGAAAGACCTGAGAGTTATTTCTACAAAACTCGCGTTACCCGCGAGTAATTTTCTGCAATTTCCACGGAGTTTGAAGTTAAACGATGCATTTTTTCTTAGTATCCCTATATACCCCGAAGGCCCGAACTAAGGGGCTGTTTGGCAACTTCTGAATGGGTAAGTGCTGAACCAGTAAGAGGTTTGAATCATTAAGTGCTGAACCAGTAAGAGGTCTGAACCATTAAGAGCTAGTATATTGCTTAACTATTCAGAGGCAAATGTCTGATCAATTCAGATAACAGCTCTTAACCATTCAGACTCTGTATAATACTTAACCATTCAGAGGCAAATCTCTTAACCATTCAGACATCTGAACCATTAAGAGGCTGAAACAAACAGTCTGAACCATTAAGTGCTGAACCAGTAAGAGGTCTGAACCATTAAGAGCTAGTATATTGCTTAACTATTCAGAGGCAAATGTCTGATCAATTCAGATAACAGCTCTTAACCATTCAGACTCTGTATAATACTTAACCATTCAGAGGCAAATCTCTTAACCATTCAGACATCTGAACCATTAAGAGGCTGAAACAAACAGTCTGAACCATTAAGTGCTGAATCATTCAGATATCTGAACCATTAAGAGGCTGAACAGCCCCTAAATAACTCTATATAAATTCACAGTCTGCCCTAATCTGACTTGCAATCTGTCGAGCACCAAAAAGTCTAAAACCCTATCGCCTCCGCTTCATTCGTGCTTCTTCTCTCAGATCTGCGGCCAACTTCGGATCTGATCCCATGGGCTCCAGGAAGCAGGATTTCGGAAATGGCGCTAGCCCAGGGTGAGTCTCTATCTGAACACATATAGTTCAACGCATCCCCAAGCCCCTAATATAGCTGTCTTCTTTAGCTCGGATCCGATCAACTTTATTAATTAGGGAATTTATTATTATGATGCAGAAAAATTTTCATTGGAGGTCTTGCGAAAGATACAACATTAGGTTAGATTTCAGGTTGCTTTGTTTGATTTTTTTTATGGATTGCGATTGCTTTTGCTGATGGTTTTGTGATCTTGATTTTTTTCCTCTGAAAAAGATCAATTTGTGAAGTACTTCGGGAAGTATGGAGAAATAACTGACTCTGTTATCATGAAAGAACGCAACACAGGAAGACCCAGGGGATTTGGGTTCATTACATATGCAAATCCCTCTGTTGTTGACACTGTTATTGCTGAGACTCATATAATCAATGACAAACAAGTGAGATATTATCATACTACATGATATTTTCATATTTCTTGTTCTTATATGCAAATGGTTGAAGGCGGTACAGTCTTGAGCAAAGTGATGATATTTTCTTTCATAGCAGTTGATTGTAAAATCTGTTACAGAACATAGATCAATCCCATTTTTTTGCTACGTGAATCTGAGCTTATTGTACCCTATAAAAAATTTCTTGTATAATTTAAAATTTGAGTTTGAACGCAGCGGTCTGTGATTTTTTGGGGTTGAGATATCTGAGAGAAAATCTGTTGTCTTTATCCAGGTTGAGATAAAGAGAACCATTCCCAAAGGATCCTCTGAATCTAAGGATTTCAAGACAAAGAAAATCTTTGTTGGAGGCATTCCTACTTCCATATCTGAAGGTAAAGACAAATTTGGTCAAGTATCTTGTCTTGATAATTTTATGGATCGGCTATTTCATTTTGATTAGTATATGATGCATCACTTGGGTGCATGTACACTGTTTTCTCATGCCGCGCCATCTTGTGTGCAGATGAGTTCAAGGATTTCTTCTCCAAGTTTGGGAAAGTGGCTGAACATGAAATAATAAGAGACCATGACACAAAGCGGTCCAGAGGCTTTGGATTTGTTGTGTTTGACAATGAGCAAGTAGTGGACACTATAATGGCTGATGGTAAAAAGATTGATATGATGGGTACCCAGGTGAGTGTGTGGATGCTATATCTGTTGACAGTGTACACACACATACACACACTGATTTTACATATGATATGGTATTCAATTTTACAACATAGCTTCTCCAATGAATTAGCTTATGAGATGATTAGCTTTTAAAAATTCTAATAGTGCCAGTCTTTTGTATGTAGAACTCATACTTAAGTGATTTGGTGCAGCATTACATTAAGTGCATCACTTACGTTTAGAGCATCACTATCACTTACATGGCAGGTGAAGTACTTAGGTTAACTTGCTTCTTTGTTGTAGGTTGAAATCAAGAAAGCAGAACCAAAGAAACCCTCAAACCCTGCACCTGCTCCCGCTTATGGTAGTAACACTAGGGGTCGTGGTTATGGCGATAGCTATGGTGGAGTTGACAGTTCTTATAGCAGTTTTGGTGGTGGAGGCTTTGGCCCTGCTGCCCCTTATAGGTCTTTTGGTGGTGGTCTTGGAGGTAGGTTTGGTGATTATCCATATCCTGCCAGTGAATTTGGGAGTCGCTATGCTGACTATGGCCCTAGTGAATTTGGTGGGTACCGGGGAGAGCCTCCAATCGGTGGCTACTCTAGTCGCTTTGGCTCTTATGGTGGTGGGGGTGGCGGCTATGGTGGGGGTTATGGTACTGGTGGGCTAGGTGGTTATGGGCGTGGAGGTGGTTATGGAGGTTATGGTGGGGCTGGTGGGGCTGGTGCAGGTGCCGGTTATGATTCTGGTCCTGGTGCTGGTTATGGTGGACCAGCAGGCTTGTATGGAAGTAGGGGAGGCTATAGTGGCGGTGGTCGTTATCATCCTTATGCCAGGTAGGTGGTTCTATTAAGCAAGCCTTCACCATAGATGAGATCCCACTCAGGTTATTGCAACCCTATCAAGTCGAGAGTAGATATTCAGAGCACTAGCAAAGGGATATGCTGTAACAGTGGAAGAACCATAGTGTTTGTTTCAATCTGTTTGTGTCCTAGATGAACCTCGTTTTTAGATGTTTTTCATGGTAGCGCATGTGCTTTGTCTGTCTACTAGTTAGACGTTCCTTCTGCAATGAAGTATTGAGTCGGTTAGAACTCACTGGAGAGGCTGTTTTGACTGTATTTCTTAGGTGGATTCCTTAGACATTTAAGTACTATTTATGTTGTGATATTGTGGCTTTATTTAGCTATCCTAAGCAAGGATTGTAAGTTTAAGTACTCCATTTTTTCCTCGTAGAACATGGGGATGTTAGATGTTCTTTGGGATCTCATGGCTTCGGTTAACTATTGTGTGGTTACATTAGACACCATTTCTACGTATAGGGTTTCAGTGCCCATCGATCTCAGAGTTTCAGTAAGCATGAAATTAAGGTTTCATTTTCATAGTATCTCTCCCTCATCTACGTAAACTGCAACCTTTATTTTCCTCAAAACATTTTCAAGGACAAACTTATGTTTAGATGTACTAAGACTTATTCTAAGACTAATTTAGATATTTTTTCCCAAGTGAACTGCCTTGTAGATCGAGCTTTTACCAGCCTTGGCACTATAAGCTTCTTCTTTCTCGTTCTCCTTTCTTCTAATCCTTCATGATTGCAGGGTTGAGCAACGGCTGACTAACGATTTATGTTTCTTCAACCGCCCCCTCTGCCCTCTACCGGGATGGGGGAGGGCTTTGAAGTTGAAGATTTGGCTACTACGATATTGTGATTTTTTTTTGATTTTTTTAAAGTTGGTATGCTTGTGAAATTGTTTTCATGTTGTATGATAATGATTTGCTCGTAGATATATACTGGGTATATCCTTTTTGTCACTGTATTACTTGCTGATTTACAAAATTGTTCAACTGAATATAAAATTATTATATCACCATTAACTTAGTCCATAATTATATCTTGAATAAAAATTGTGAATTGATTTTTTGTAAATAATTCTTTTTTACGGAGTAGTGTTTTGGTTCATGCCCGTGTTTTTTCTCTATTTTTTATTTTTTAATAAAAATTGGTAAATTTTGACTTTAAATTTAATAAAAATGATCTAGACACTGATACTAACATAATTTTATTAAATTTTATATGAAATGTTTTTTACATACTTTCTCTGTTCCAATTTATAATGCATGTTTATTATTCACATGGTCAAATTTCATTTACTTTCTTTTTTTTATTTTCATTAGTTATTTGATAAAATAAAATATTATTGTCATTACTAGTTTTGTAAATCTTTTGATTTAGTATTTTAATATGTAATTTTTATCGTTCAATTCTATACCATTTGTCATATAAAATGATTTGAAAATAATTTTAGTCAAACATCGTAAACTGAAACAAGTGTTATAAATTGGGACGGGGGGAGTATTATTTTATCTAATTAATACGGAGTATGTATTTTGTAATATATATTTGATTGAAAAAAGTTAAAATTAGATAAATACTAGGGACGAAGTATTACCGCGTGGAATGTTTCTTGTTACGTGTAGAAAATTTGGTTTTGAGAGTGTAATACTCTAGAATTAAAAGAGTAAATATTATAATCATTTTTATTAGAACTTATAAAAAAAACTACGTACAATGTTGGAAAAGGTATTCAAAATCTTTAACTCTGATATAATTCATATAAGTAAAAAGTAAATCTTACAAAAAATACTTTTTAATATATTTTTAGAAAATGTTGGGCAAAAATTTAGAACTAATTAAACTGTCTTTTATTTTTTACAAAATTTTTTGTAGTTTATAATTATATTTTTTTTTGAAAAATTTAGAGTGATTATAACTTTGAAGTGATTAATGAAAGAGTAATAATAGGCGCATATCAAGTTGCATACAAAATTGCATACCGCTTCTCTTCTTATAACACATTTTTATCCACTTTTTAATTTTCTTATCACATAAAAAATGAGTATTTTTGGAGAGTGGCGATGCACATTGAATTTTCAAAAACATTATAAAGTATATAACATGAATTTTATACGAAAATATCTAATACGAGGTATTATCACGGAGTAATAATTATAAGATGTTTTATTTTGCATAAAACCAAATCAAAGCAATGATATCCGTAAAATTTGCAGGTAATAATCATGATGTCCATAAAACAATTTTATCATAATGATGGTAAAATTTGCACTTTAAAATGTGAATATCCATAATTTGATTGGTTACAAATGCGTGGTAAAGAAAAAAAAAATGTTTTTTTTTGCTAAGGAGTATAGAGTGTCATATTTACTACATACGGAGTACAAAAGTAGTGGACTTTGAAAAATGGTTCAATTTAAATGATTAAAGCAAATTCGGGAGCTGCACAAACCTCTAAACAGAATCAGAAAATTATGAACCAAGTTCTTGAATCATTTTATTTTCTCTTAACAATTTATCTACCAAGAATACAAAAGAAAAAAAAAATGTAAATCGCCCTTTGGGAAAATCATGATTACCTCTTGCCATTGATTCTCTTTATCAAATTAAGGTAACAGAATGGCAATATTTTTTTTCCTTTTCCCAAATGCTTGTTTTCTCAGATTATTTGGTTTATGACAAATCTTTTTCAAATACAATCTTTAGTAATTGTTAATTTTTTTCCCATTATGTTAATTTTTTCATGAATATTTTGTAGGCATGCTAGTATTAGGAATTAAATTATAGTATGACATATTTTCAATTTATAGTGATATATACATTGTGGTCGAGTCGAATGATTGTTACTCTTTCAAATGAAAGATCACGCGTTTGAACCCAGTGGTGAAAGATCAAATAATGTTATTGGAATTCAATATGTTGTTTTGTTTTTGGTTTAGGATAGATGCTTGGTGAATTGCATTGAATAGAACAGCTGCATTGGCCACCAAAAGAATAATATGGACATTTCTAAAGGAAGCACTCCAAATCATCACACGAGCGGCATTACTATAACACCCTGCGGGGTAATTTTGTCCATTCTTATACCGGTGTTGCTTTCATTGGCACTAGAGGAGAGGAGAAAGACAAAGAAGAGAGGAGTTCCCGTGAAAGCCGGGGGCGAAATGGGAATTACAATGCGCAATGCCAAATTTCCAAGATTGGTTGAAGTTCCATGGGAAGGGGCGAGGACTATGGCAGATCTCTTTGCGCAGTCGTGTCGAAACCACTCACAAGAACGTTGTCTTGGAAGAAGGCGACGGTTTGAGAATCTTCGCTTGGATGATGGGTACATGTGGGAAAGTTACGGTCAAGTATTTGACCGTGTTTCCCACTTTTCATCTGGTCTTGTAAAGTTTGGTCACGACGTGGACACCCGTGTCGCTATCTTTTCTGATGCACGTCCTGAGTGGCTGATTGCCTTTCAGGTTCGTATTTCGTAGCTATAGCTTACTTCCCTCATTCTTTATTAACTGTCTACAATGACTTTCATGATATATTGAAATTTGAATGAATGTAGACCTACTTTATGTCTACATTCATCATTTCTCAATGTATCATAAAAGTCATAATCGACAGTTAACAAAGAAGGGAGAAAGTGATGTCTAATGGTATGGTTTCTTTATTTGTGCTTGTTTTGAGAATCATTCATTTTGGACATATATCACTTTCAGGGTTGTTTCAGACAAAACATTACTGTAGTAACTGTTAATGCTTTTTTAGGGGATGAGGCTTTTGTGTACTCATTAAATGAGGTGAGCATTAAAGTACACAAATGTTTGGTTTATTCAGTAATTAATCTTGTTTAATGGGCTAAGTACTTTTTGTTTTTTAAAAGACTGAAGTGGCCACATTGGTATGTGATACCAAACAACTGAAGAAGTTGTCTGCAATGAGGTCAAGTTTGAAAACAATCAAGAACGTCATTTACTTCGACGAGGACGACAAACATGATGATGGGACTAAATATGATCTCAAAGCTTGTGGGGATTTTGAGAACTGGAAAATATCTTCATTTTCTGAAGTTGAAGGAGTTGGTAAAAGTAGCAGCATTCATCCTAGGTTACCCATCAAGAATGATATTGCTGTGATCATGTACACCAGTGGCAGCACCACCTCACCTAAGGTCAGCGTTCAAGTCCCTCTTAGTGTTTATGCTCGGACCACGCGTACCCTCACCCCAACCCTACATTAGTATGATATTGTCCGCTCTGGGCCAAGTCCTCACCGATTTGTTTTTGGGCTCCTCCCAAAACGCCTCATACTAACGGGTATGATTTTGGTCTCAGTTCTCATCCCCCACACCAATGATTTTGATGTCTTGATGTTGGTTACAGGGAGTTATGATAACCCATGGAAACATTGTAACAACTGCAGCGGCGGTCATGAGTGTGATCCCTGATCTCGAACCCAAAGACGTGTACTTGGCCTGCATGTCTCAAGCACACGTCTTCGAACTAGCTGCTGAGGTGACACCACTCTTTTCGCCCTTTCTTCCATAGTGCATGTGATTGTTTGGTTTAATTTGATGTTAAATTGGGCCATTGCTGCTGTCTTGAATGCAGACTGTGATGTTGGCAGCAGGAGCTTCTATTGGTTATGGATCGGCATCAACACTAACCGACACATCCAGTAGCATCAAGAATGGAACCCGCGGAGACGCAACCGTGTTAAAGCCCACACTAATGGCTGCAGTTCCTGCAGTTCTTGATCGAATAAGAGAAGGAATAATACAACAGGTGGTCTTACCTGCTATAGCCATATCTCAATAACTACAAGCTTGAGCTTTTGGTTGAGTCATCTTTTTGTCATGGTCCCTAGGAGTCACGAGTTCAAATCTGACCTATAAAGTCACAAGTTTGAGCTTTTCGTTAAGTCAGTTCCTTGCTAGGCTAAAAATTTTATGAATTGATAATGTAGGTTGAGGAGAAGGGTGGCAACACTGAAACACTATTCAACATTGCATATAAGCGCAGGGTTGAAGCTCAGGAGGGAAGCTCGTTTGGAATGTGGGACAGGCTCGAAACTCGACTCTGGGATAGAATAATTTTCGAAAAGATACAAAAAGTTCTCGGAGGACAAATTCGTTTCATGCTTTCTGGTGGAGCTCCTCTGTCTCAAGATACACAAAGGTTTATCAACATCTGCATTGGGTAAAGTTTTCTCTGTTTCATGCTGTGCATTTATGATTTTCACATAAGAAAAAAAATGAAATATCCCTTCTAATTAGTGCTCTTTGTTTTCTCTGAAAACAATATAATTGATGCATATGTTTATGTATAGAGCTCCTATATGCCAAGGATATGGCTTGACAGAAACATTTGCCGGAGCAACTTTGTCCGACATGGATGATACTTCAGTTGGTCACGTCGGTCCGCCTCTCCCTTGCACCTACATAAAGGTATGGCTACCATAATTCCTCCCCCAACCAAGCACCTACATGCTCCTTCACATTGAGACAAGATTTGTTTTTCCTCAAGCCTTGCACGTGAACATTAATAAATTTATTGGTCAACAAAGTTCTGATACCATGCAGTTAGTTATAGGCACATGAAAAGTTTTATATAATCTAACACTTTTCTTGAGCTAAAAATGCATGCAGTTGGTGTCTTGGGAAGAGGGAGGGTACAAAATAACAGATAAACCGGCGCCACGGGGAGAAATCATAGTTGGTGGAGGGAGTGTGAGTGCCGGGTATTTCAACAATGATCTTGAAACAAATGAGGCCTACCATGTAAGCACTTTTTTTTACCTTCTTCTGCTTCATTGAGTTAAAACCATGGTCCAATCACAAGCCGATCTTGTTTTAATTTTACTGCAATCATACATCAGGTTGATGAGAGGGGAATGCGGTGGTTCTACACCGGTGACATTGGGATGTTTCGTCGTAACGGGTGTCTTGAAGTTATTGATAGAAAGAAGGATATTATAAAACTTCAGCATGGTGAATATATCTCACTTGGAAAGGTATACATGAAGGTTTTATTTTGACCCTCCAAATAAAAAACTTTTAAATAACATTTTT